GGTAGAAACTGGAAACTCTCAGGGAAGAAGCGGCTCCGTGGACACAGGGATCTTGGTTAAGTGCTGGCATGGACTAGCTAAATGAACACTGAGTTTATTGTGGGTAGTAGAGAGGTCACCTATGTATTCATTTCTTGTGCTGCCGAGGCATGCTACAGGATACATGTCACATGGCATGTTACAATGGTACTAGTTTTGTATGCAGTATTTCAGAAGTCAGCAGGGTCCCTCATGGCGGACAGGGTTCAGCAGAGCTTCCTGACTAAGATCAACCAGACAGAAAGACTTGGTCATCTGACAGACAGAAGATCGCCTGCCTAAGGCCTGGACAGGGAATGCTCTGGTTAGAAGGCACTCGGCATACACATTGTCTGCAACGGTGGCCCCTAGCACACCAACGGTCATGGTGACAATCACACAGCACTGGCAACCAGTTATTCCTTTGTGTGCCAGTTGCCATGAGTTGAAGCCCACTTGATACCAGCCGACCGTAGCAATGACTAGTGAGTAAAGTGTGTGAAGCCCGTAGCCAAATCAGAATCCTACTGCTGTTGAGTGGATTCTGCCTCCTATGGTACCTTTAGGACAGAGTAGAACTATTCCAATGGGTTTCCCCAAACTAAATCTTTGCCTTTACTGAAGCAGGCAGTCTCACCACCTTTCTCCCTTAAGTGGTTGGTGGGTTTGAACACCCAACCTGTTCAAATGCTTCACCCACTGTGTTATCAGGGCTCCTTGTCTCATAATAAGCACTCGGTAACTTGAGTGAGGCCTTGGCATCCCAGTGATGCCATACCTTCCCCAGGCCTCAGCTGGGAGGCTCACCCAGCTGCTGAAGGGCAAGGCTGTTAGGACGGGGTGCAGGGCCACGTAGCTGGGAGGAAAGATGGAGAGGTGCCCCAGGTCAGCCAAATTTCTGACATTTTCTGCAGAAGAAATTCCATTTTTGTAAAATGTAACTTACATCATTATATAAACCCCTTCATTGTAGTTGTGCTTTATGTCTCTGAAGTCTTGGAATCATTAGGCAAGAAAGGAGTAGCCTGAGTTTGATGGCGACGCTTCTAAGGTCTGGGGATGAGGTGATAGAAAACCCTCACTTGAAAGGGCCTGCTCAGTCCACCTGGTTGACTGAGTTCAAGAATGGTGTGTGCTATTATTCTGGTTCTTTGAGGCTTTCTCAGCCCCCACTATCATGACCCCAGTCCTGCCTTTCAGCTTGGGCCAAACCGGAGGATGTACACAGGTAGAGATAAGAGTTCAGGACACACGTAATCCAGGTCAGATAAACCCCTCAGGAACAGGAATGGGAGGAGCGATACCAGGAGAACAGGGGGAAGGTGGGGGGAGGAGGAGGGAAGGAAGGGAGAACCTATCACAATGATTGACACATAGCCACAACACCACCACCCCTTCCAGGGGGATGAACAGCAGAAACCATGGGGGAAAGGAGACAGTGGTCGGTGTACACCATGAAAATAATAATAATTTATAATTCCTTAAGGGGTCACGAGGATGGGGGGAGGGAGGGAAAAAAGAGGAGCTGATACCAAGGGCTTAAATAGAAAGGAAATGTTTAGAAAATGATGATGGCAACATATGTACAAATATGCTTGATGCAATTAATGTATGGAATGTTATAAGAGCTGTAAGAGCCCCCAATAAAATATTTTTTTAAAATAATGTGTGTGGATGTGTATGTGTGTGTGTGAGAGAGAATATGCAAATGCAGTCATGTGTCTCTTTCCAGTGGCTTCAGTCACTGTGGATGAAGGCCACAGAAAACCGCCTGACTCAGTGGGCATCTCGTTTTTATCATTACAGCTCCGGGCTTTGGACGTTGGGTTTCTTTACCGCCTTTCTTCCCACACAAGCAGAACCTGTCTGAAGAGACTGGCTGGAAAGAACTGACCGCGGCCGTTTTCCCACTGTGATGAAAGCACCTGGCACAGGTAGACATCCTCATCGTCCTTGGTCAGAGAGAGATGTCATTTGGCAGTGAGGTCTCCATGCACACACGCACAGCATCAGCCTCCATTAATAAGCATGTGTTTGTGCATGTAGATAATCTCCATCCACTTCTTTCTTTCGCCCTCCTACAAATGAGGCACTTAACCACTTGTGGGAAAGAGTAGAGCTTTTACTTCTTTGGGGGATCATTGACAAGACTGGATCAGGAAGGATTTGCTCTGGTGATGAGTGTGATGCCATGTTTGACAACCTCACTTGCTCCTCTCAGCAACGCAGTCAGGAGCATTGTTACATATCCACAACATGAGTTATGGTGATGGTCTGTTATCCTAGTGACTAGATGGCCCCAATTTCATTCCGTTGATCCCCTCCATTTGGACCTTGAGGCTGTTCCTGATTTGCTTGTCATTGTGTTTCCAGAATGTTCTTGAAGTTCTCTACTCTTTCCATTGTTCATGGATCCTTTAGGGGTACCTCTTACAATGAACTGCTAAATATGAGAGCTTCATGCTTGTTGCCAAATTGCCTTTCAAAAGATGATGTAAGTTTATATTGCTAGGAGCTGTGTTTAAGGGCACCTACTTCTATACAATATTGCCAATTCTGGGAATTTTTTGGGGGGGGGAGGTTTTTTCCAGTTGGTTATAAGAAATAGTGTCTCCATTTTTAAAAATTGGCATCTACTTGTGAATTTTGACGATTCTTCCTTCTGCAGACACTTGCACACTTACAATGTAGCGGATTGTGACATTTGAGAAACAATACTAGATCACAGTGGAGGCTTCTTCAGGGATGCACGTTCTCCCAGTTGCCCGGGTACTTCTAGGCAAACACAAGATTACTGGAGAGGAATAGTTTGTGACGAAGAAGTCAATTCATCATTTCTTGAAATGGGTAAAAAGGTGTTAATAAGCATCCTTCATTCAACATATTTCTGAACTTCTGCTGCTCTTACGTTGTGTGTGTGTGTGTGTGTGTGTGTGTGTGTGTGTGTGTCCACCTGTGGTTAGATAAGGTGTGTTGCAGAGCCCACATACCATAGTGGGTGGGATGGAGGTTGGCAGCTGCCTGGGTTTGGCAAACTCCAGCTCTGTTGTTGTTGACACATAATTTCGGGCAAGTTACTTTGTATCTCAATGTGTGAATGTGAAAAACCTGGAGAAGCCCTGTTCTCACAGGTTCAGGTGCTGTTTGAAGTGAACACGGGAGTGAGCTGAACTCCCCCCTGTCGCTCAGTTTTCAGCCCAGTGATAGATCTGTAAGGTGACCTGTGACCCCAGGAAGATGTACACTCCAGAGAACTGGCAACCCTTCCGGATCCAAGGGCAACTTCTGCCCAAGGACAACGTTCCGAGTTTAGGAAGGGATGGGTAGAAACTGGAAACTCTCAGGGAAGAAGCGGCATGTGCAAAGTGGGGATTGCTGTCAACGTCATAAAACAAAAACGTGACTGTGCTATGGATGGGCAAATGGATTTGCTCTACACAATATCACTGGACAAGAAGGAGTTCTTTGGATATTGATACATACCCAATTTCAAAGACTCTTTAATGATGTGAGAAAATGATCATGATATAGGTGGGGAAGGTTAGGCATTACCATAGCCTTAGTATCATTCCAGTCTTGGACATTGCTTATCCTCCTCTTCCTCCTTCCTTCCATCCGCCTCTAGTTTCCAAAACCAGATGTGCCTTGTGCGTCTCGTTAATTAAAATCAGTGGAGTGATCCCAATCATGGAGAAATTGCATGACGGATGCTGGCAAGTCATTCAAATGTGAAATCGACGCTCTCTGTAGTATGTGGCCCGTGGAGCCCTGGGAGCAGCCTTTGCATTGAGAGCAGGACCTCGTCTCACCCAGGGCTGCTCTGTTCCTGTGGGAGAACAAGTGCCTCGGGCCAGCCGAGCTCCCTAGTCTCTTTGGAGCCATGCAGTGAGAGTCCCGAACCATCGGACACCTTATGTGGGCTGCCCTACTTGGCTGTTAGCATCCCCTGAGGACTGCATTCCACAAACGAAATGAAAGTCAGGGTGAGCCCACGGAACCCTAGCCCTTAGAGAAAGTGTGTTTTTTCTACGAGCACAGAAATCAGGGGGAATTGGGTGGGTTGGGGGCCATTATGAGTCCCTCGCCGCTTTGACAGCAGAGCAGAGAAATTATTTGTCTTTTAGCAAACACAGGGTGAGCTTGTCTGGCTTCAGCCTCTGCCTTTCACCACCCCCCTCCACCCCCTCTACTCCACAGTGTTTCCTTCTTTGAGGAGAATCCTTCAGTTAGGCCCCCACCCACTCAGGACACACGTCCTGTGCCTTCTGCCACGTGGGGCTCTCTCCTCGTGGATGCGCTGTGCTTATTTCCACAGCTCAGAACACTTGGGCGAGCATTTATAGAAGAGATTTCCTTTAAAAGTCATCTTCTCACCTAAACAGGTTCTTCCTCTCACTTCGCCTCCTTCCATCTGGTGGAAGCGTCCGTAATTCGTAGGGAATTTCAGGAAAGGTATGATTTTGAGAGACTTGGTGATTTTTTTTTCATGGCACGATGAAAGCCGATGGACAGAAACTCAGGAGAGCATGGTGTTTTGCGTGTAAAATTACAGCTTTTCACGATGATGGCTGAGCACATGTGTTGCCAAAATCATTTACCTGGATTCTACAGAAAGTGTTCCATTCCTTTAAAGTTTTATAAATAATACGACTTACCTCGGCATCATGGAAACATTCGCCGAGTTTGATACCTCGCATCAAAGAATGCAGGCTCATTTCCTCTGACACCTGAGTAGATAGGTGCCTGATGCCAAAGCCACTTTGGGACCCCAGAGCAGAGTTTTGCAGAACCTTCCTCCTCCCCTGTGAGGCACTAAGGTTGTTGTGTGCCATCAAGCTGCTTCCGGCTCACGGCTACTCTGTAGGACAGAGTAGAACTGTCCCATGGCATATTCTGGGCTGTCATCTTGACAGAGCAAATTTTACAGCCCATTTCTTCCACAGAGTGGCTGGTGGGTTTGAACCACCAGCCTTTCAGTTGGCAGCTGAATGCTTACCTGTTGTGTCACCCAGCAACAATGTGACAGCTCCCTAAAGGTGCCACTGTCTACGCTGCCAAATGGTCCCCTTCCAAGAGCTTCCGGGCTGCAAATAGAAGCACAACTGTAGGACGACTTGACGCACTGGGTGACCATGCCCTGTGCTGCTTTACGAGATGCCGTGTGTCAGTCTGGGGAGACTAGAGAAACATCCACAGAAACTCATATGTATAAGAGAGAGTTTTATAGAAAGGGTAAGTGCACGTCAAGAAAACATCCCAACCCAGTGTTGCCCAAGCCCACAAGTCCAACATTAGCCCATATGTCCAACACGAATTCACAAAGTCCTCCTCCATCTCACAAAATGCACACAATGATGCCGACTGCAGGAGGAAAGCCAAATCAGTGAGTGTGTAAGCATCTCAGTACTGGCAGGGGTCTCCACACGGGTGCTCCAGCACCCAGGGCTGCATTAGGGTAGGTCCAAGTGGCTTCTCCTCAGGGATGTCTTGCAGGAAGTGAGCCTTGCCAGCTGAAGCAGGGAACTGGCTAAGGCAGCTGCACCTTGGTCCGACCATCACAAAGCAAGAGACCCGAGAACTCCAAAAGCGAGGCTCATTGCGCCATTTATCTCTCCACACTTCAGTTGATCCCACATGTGTTTATCGGCCAGGCTGGCAAAATAAACCTTAACTATTTCACGCTGTTTTGTCTCTCTTGAGCCAGTTGCCATCACATTTGTATGTGTGCGAAGGAACTGTGTTGTCCAGGGCTTCTGAGGCAGATTTCTGGGGAATCGGCTGCTGGGCCTTTCTTCCTCGAGTTGGCAAGAAGCACCAGGCTGCTGCTGTGTGCCGCACAGTACCCAGAGGCACCATGGCTTCAGATGGCATGAGAAGTATGTCACTGAGAGTGTTTAGTTTTCTTGAAACATGTTAGGGAGATTTGAGAACGGATCTTCTGTGATGTTGCCATCTGTTTGCCCCTTCATTTTTCTCTTGGGAAATATGAGTTTTCTCCATGCTGCCCATTTTCCTCCTCTTTGAAATGGGCACCATAGGTCCTTGTAAGGATTATAGACATATAAACCCTTACAACACCACGTCGCCGAGTGTATACACTTAAGGCTCAACAAACATTTGCTGTGCCTGAGCCTTCGTCTTCTTCTTCTTTCTGCTGGAGGCGTCCTCGTGACACTGTGCCTAAAACACCCGGCCGCTCGTCCCAAGGCCAGTAGGCTTGAGCCCCTGGAAGAGATAGATATGGCAGTCCTTCAAGACGTGCTTGAACACCCTACATGGGCAATTCTGTTTTGTTCTGTGGGATCAGTACGAATGGCATCAACTGGACAGCCATGAGTTTGGTGTGGCTGATTCAACACTATACAGTAATAACTGCTAACCATGAGGCTGGTGGCTCAAGCCCCCCTTGAGACACGTTGGAAGAAAGACCTGGCAATCTCCTCCTGAGAGAGCCAGGGCCATGGAGAACCCCGTGGAGCACAGGCCCGTTCTGGGTGGCCGGGGATCGAAGCCACCTCAGCAGCGCCTGGTTTGCTTCGTCTTCTTCCCACTCTCAGCCCACAACGTTTTCTGGCGGAGGCTGCCTTGCACGTGTGAAACACAGAAACGCACCCCAACCCAGTGAGAGAATGTGTCCGTGCTGGCGCCTTGCGCTTTCAGAGGGCGGCTGGGGCTGGCCTCATCGGATTCTCAGAGCGTCTCAGTGGGTCAGCCCAAGGTCTCCGAAATGCCACGGACTGGGAGCCAGCAGAGAGCGACACCCTGCGTGACTTTGAATGAGGCACTCCATGGCCAAGGTGACCCGATGTTAACATCGGTAAAGCAGAACCCCGTTGATAAAACTCATATCCTGGCAAAATAGCCACATGGCAGCCGAAAACCATATACCCTAGCTTGTCGTGCATTCTTTCCAAAAATCGGGACTTTTAAAAAA